GAGGCTGGAGCAGGCCTAGGACCTAAGTTTTCCTGCAATTCTGTTTTAAATAGCATTTTTGTGTAATGGGTCCTATCTAGGAAAATAGATTGAGGCCAAATTTGCTGATGGCAATGTAGGAAAATAGACTGAAGCCAAGTTTTCTGATGGCAATGTTTAGAGCAGATTAGGAAGCACAGTGAGAAATGAGAGAAAAAGCTAATTGAATTAGCAAACGGGATATCACGATGACAAACTAAATTCAGTCCAGATCAGCATAAGATATGGCATACTGTATTACACTAATGGATTCAGATATTAAGTCAGTGTGAAAATCCAACACACAGCCTTCCAAGCGAAAAAGTGCTACCACCGCACACCACACAACATGCCCTTGCCCCGCGCTCTACAGCGATCGAGAAACAAGAGCCAACTACGCACAAAGAAATATATAGCTGAAGGAAGCAAGAGTATACTGTGAAAATGAGTCACATGGATATATTTTCTTTCAGCATTTATTCTATTATTATCTATTTTTATCATCTCTGAATAAAATAAACAAGAATTACAAAGCAGCAACTCTTGTACAGAGTTGAGGAGAGAAGATGTCACCATATAGTAAGAAACTCAGCTTGATAATTAGTTGGGTAAGCAGTTCCAAAGACAAAGGAATACGATTGTGGAACACATGCTTACACAACGGACAGAGTCAACTGAGTTTCATAAGTCACAATAAATACAATGAAACAAAAATGTTTCCAATCTAACATTATCAAGTAGTTTTTTGTTTTAATGAAGAATGGTTAGCTTAAAATTCCCTGACACATATATTAGATTTTTTTTTAAAAAAAAAAGCAGCCTATTGCATAAACTGATTGATAACATAAACATATCAAGTATTATGGATAAATTCTAGGTGTATTATGGGACACAATGTATTTTTCCCCCGATTCTTCTGGTTGATTTTAATACAGGAATAAAGAGAGAAAATATATTTTTATTAAATTTTTTTTTTAATAAAATGTCCCACCTAGTGTCTCACATTCTTACTGTCAAGATTTGATGTTTTTAATGACTTATTGACAGCAAAGAAACAGTGTACATTATCACATTGCTAACAAGCTTTTTACATTGTGTTTCTAACAAGCTCGTAGCAATTTGGCATAACACTTCTATTATTGCCTTAAAAATGAATCGACTGTATTTTAACCAGGGTTATTTCTCACGTCAGGTCAAATATGATCAGTCCACTCCTTCTAGTAGAGCACTATCTTTAAAAAGACCAAGAGTAAACTCCTCTCTTTGGTGTAAGAATGCTCCTCTTAAAACCTATTGCCCTGGTCTCTGCCTGTTCACTTTACAAAAACCTCTCAGATGACCAGGCTCTATTTCACAGAAGTCTCCGATTCAAGAACCTAACTGCAATGTTAACTGTGCTGCCCCAATGTCATACTTCACCTTAATGTCATCTAGAAAACCCAGGGCTCTAACTGCCAATTTTGAAGGCTGCACACAATATATTGAAAACCAAACAAAAAAAAAGAAAAAGGCAGAAAAGGAGAAGCTGAGTCAACCATGACTCCAGAGATTAGTAAGAATAATGTCAACAGCATCAAATTCAGTGCACAAATGCTGAGGATGTCACTCATTGTCACTGAGGATGCAACTTTTATACCTATGCCATTGAAAAGCTTTATGAAATTCTTGGCAGAAATAAAAATTGAGGTGCTTTGGTATTGCATATTTTTTCTAAACTGAACACTAGTCAGGAAAACTGCAAATACTTACTGTCACAGTGGAACTGCCATATGAACAAAACCGATTTACTCCATTTCTTCTAAAGAGAAAACCATTGTTCCCGTCTTCGCGCATGAAGAAACTCAGCACATACAATAACAACGGAGCGGCTACGAGGCCAAGTAGCTTCACAAGTCTGTGAAACTAGTTCTCTCTCTAAACACAAAGCATTTACTAGCCCCGGGAAGGACCCTGAGATCTCCTCCTTTGTCACATCAAAGCTTTTCTGTATCGAGGAGCTCCCTTCTCTTTCATGCTACATCAGTAACATACATGTGTCTGTATCCAAATTCGCTTTTCAATTACACTATTGTAACACACGAGCAACTTTATTGACTTGGGTAGATTTAGGACTTGTCAACACTGAACAGTTTTTAAAAGGGATTTTACTGAGCTACTTTTAAAGGTTCAGAAAACAAAGTAAGGTCTGTCTGCATTGGATGTCTTTTCAGAAATGTAACTGTAAGCAAGGCAGTGGTTACACAGATATAATACCATCCAACTATCTCAAAAATGTTATTAAAAAGCAATTAAGATCCTTTGTGTTCCCTTGTTTTGTCCCTCAATTAATATGGCACAGACCTGATTGCACACAGAGCGCTCTTCTGAAGGCAACAAAACCACACTGACCTTTCTGACTGGAATTCTGTAAAACAATATTTCCAATAACCAAGTAAGAGTCCAGTTTCCCCCTTCACCAAGTGCACAGTGTAGGCTTAGTACAATTTTTCAGTAATCAAATATTCTGCCTATAAACATAGCAATTATAATTAAGTATGCTGAATAGCAGCATCATTTTAATCACAGCTACTTTCCAGAGTTGAATGACATTAGACCAGATATCCTACACAATAGGCAACGAGAGCCTTGAAAAGCACAAATCAAATCAACCAGCCTGCTGAGCGAAACAGTTGGCTTTGCTTATTCCCAATACAAACTCTTGAGCCTCAACACACCTAAGAAACTAGTTGTTGCTATATATCCTGTGGTATGTTTGGGGAAATCTGTCTTGGAAGAAAGTTGCTGAGCGCAAGATGCTATAAAGCCAAACTGGGTCAAAAGAGAAGGAAAAAAAAGTCTAAGAATATTCTTTTAAAATGTTCTTTTAAATCCCATTTGCCATAAATAAAAGGGAAGAAAAGAACTGTGTAATACAAATAATGCACTACCTCACCTGTTACCTCAGCTCTACTGACACAGCTCAGCCCTGACCTGCAGCAACCTGCTCTTCCAGCTTCCGCATCCATGTGGGAAGAGGTTAAACCAGGAGTATGGCTTTACAAAATGGACAAATGCTCACAAAAGACAAGGCTAACACCACCAGTCTCACTTTCAACAACCTCCATCTGTCCAAGCTGAAAAAGAAGCACATTAACTTGATAGACTTTTAGATCGCCTTTGTTCTGCTCTCCTAGGACAACTAGCAGCAAGAAAACAGTAAATCACTGCTCGCCAAAGCATACCTCTGAACAGCCCGGACACTCACAAACAGAAAATAAAGGTCATTATAGCATGAACACCCTGCTATTTCAAGTGATAAGAGAGTATTACAGATGACCATAAAAACAGATATTTTGGAAAGATGTCTGTTTCTTCCAGTCTTGCTCAGACTCAAAAAAAGCAAAGGATAGGGGAATGAAGGTGGCTGTTGTCTGGAAAATAAATTTGGGGCAGCAGGAGGACAGATACATGGGCTGCCAGCTGCTCTCAAAACTGGAAGCTGCACAAGGAACAGGTATCCCAAGACACAAGATGGGAGAGTCCTCAAAAACATGGCGAAGATGAAGCAGAGGGGAGCAGGCATGAGAGCAGGCCTGCAGGGAATCAGAAAAATGTTTAGGTGTTACTGAGGACTCGCTTCCAGGAGAAAGCAGAGTTCCTACCGCTCTCACCAACTCCTTGCCTGGTTTTACCCTCACCACTCGCCTCAGGGTCAGGGAGGAAGCCTGAAAGGGATCAATAGCAGTAATGTTAATGCTGATAAAGTTGGGTTCCTCATGCTTTTCAAACACAATTTATCTATACTTAAATAAATATCAATAATGGCATTACAGGAAGTGCAGGGAGGGCACGGAGACAGAAAGACAGGAAAAGCTGAAGTACTTAGTTTTCTGTGCCCATACGACTAGAAGCTTCTTCCCAGCCCCTTCCATGCTACACAGAAATTGTTACCAAAGCGTGACATTTACATCTGCTATAATCAGCAAGGTGGGAAGGGATCTCAGTATTTGTCCAACCCAGTTCTTCTCTATATTTTTACTTAAATCATTAACATAGATCACAATAAAATTTTATATATATATATACACACACACACCCATAATAGGTGTATATCCATATATATATATACACATACACACACACATCTTATAAGTTTCAGTCATATCAGCTCTCTATAGCACATGTACCCCCTTTTTCTACAATCCACATTCCTTCACATTCACATTTAAAACAACCTTTAATATTGTCTCTCTATTTTCACTGGGAATATCTCACTCCCCCACACTTTTTTTTTTTAATAAAGCAATGTATCTCCTCATTATCTGATTCCTTTGTTTGCATATTTTAAATTTAATCAGAACACTCAAGGTGCCAATAATCACATTTGTCTTTCCACCAAGAAGCAGAAATGGAAGTAAAGCTGATGCTGCATAACAATAATGTAATCTGCAGTACTGCATCTGAACTGAACTTTTTAAGAAGTCCAAAACATTCATGTGTCTAAGTTGAAAATTTAAAACGGAAATCAACCTTTTGAAATCAAAGGTAATAAAGCAAACAACTTCACCTAAATATTAGACTATAAGCTAGCTAAAAGCCACTAGCAATGAAGTCAGCATCTACTTTCTTAAATAATCAACATCATCTCAAAAAAGCAACTAGGCAACATAAAAATGAGAGAAAGTCACTATTATGTGCTAAACAATAAACAATAAAACAATAAAGAATAGGCTAAAGCAATATCCCCCTGGTTGTTTCAAACAGTGTTATAAAAAAATGACTAGGAAGCGATGGCAGAAAGTTAATACATAGTCTAGAGTGCCCTCTTTCTTCTCTACGAGGAGTTTCACGGAAGCATTATATTTCTATCAGCTGTAAGTTTTGTTTTCACTAAGTCAAATAAAGCAATTGAGGGTGTATAAAAGTTAAAATTAAAAATATTTCTGCTGCATAGTCTTAGACTAGTGAGGAAGGTGATTTTACTCTAATGAAAATATACTTACAAGGCCATTTGAAATTGTTCAAGCCACTTTTTCTTCAAGTCCTTAGTTTTACAGTAAACTTCTAATCCATTTTGACCTTGGATATGAATGAGGTAGAAGCCATAAGACCACTGCATAAAAAAAGACCAGCAATACACAGACTGAACAATTACGTAACTCAACATTTACTGGGGGGGGGGAAGGGGAGGAGGGGAGTGGGAGGGAGAGGGAAGAGAAGAGAGAGAAAGAAGCAACTCTAGGTTCCTTAGTATAAATCCTGATTTTGGAAACACTGAGAACATATTATAACGTGATTTGGTTCACTTGGGATCGGTTTACTCAAACATTTTCATTATCTCTAAATAAGCAAAACTGAAATCCTTAAGTATTCATTTCAAATAACATACAGCTTATTTAACACAGAAATACAGTTTATTTAATACAGCTTATTTAACACAGAAAACTTGCTAAACACATTTTAGAAACATTTCTTGAACTCAAGCAAAATTTCTGAATGTTGCTGAAAGCACACATTTTATTATCAACTTAGCAATTTGTAAAATATATATACCTTTTTATTTTCTTTATCAGTAGTGGGATTATTTGTAATTTTGTATTTTTGAAGATCTATTATTTCCTTCATTTCATAATTATCACCTCTCCGTTTACAAACGATTACAGCTAGATCAAACAAGAAAATATGCCTATAAAAATACAATATAGAAAAGGGTTAAAACATTATTTGTAAAGTCAACACGCAAAGCCCTCTCCACAGGCAATTAAAATACTGGATAAGAGAACATGAAATACTTCAAGTATTTTTACAAGAGGTTCATAGAGACTGAGATGACCCTAGATGATAATGGTTAACTTCCCATGAACCACTTTGCAAATTTATTTTCTTAATATCGATAGGCTTGGTGATTGCACGGTGAAAGTACTCAAGAATCACTGAACTGACCACACATTATAAAAAACAGATTTATTCTGCATTTCTAATAGCAAACATCAGACCTCACGCCATCACCTGTCTTGCCTTGCACGTTTGTCTAATGTAGTTATCCTTATTTCCCCATCACCTTGTGGCCTTCCATACTGTAACAGAGAATGATTCTGAAAACAAAAAGAATATGCACGTCTTAGCATAGCAGAGGAGCTAAAAAGTTGACATAAAAGGCGGACCACCTCTCTTACCCCCTTTTGTCAGGTCCAAACAAGCAATTAACAAAAAAAAAAAAAAAAAAACCACACACACACACCTTATTTCACTTTCATGTAAACTAACTTTGATAAAGCATCAGTACATTACTTTTTTTTCCGTTTTGTAAATACCTGCAGCACTATGCAAGTAATACTTAAGCGCACAAATACATTTAACTGTACACAGATCCCCAAAATAGTGAGCAGTATTGTCTGTACTTAAACACACATATATCAACCTAAACCAACCAAAGCATACACATGCAGGAATACTATAGCTGCATGTAAAATGGAGAAAAAAGAAAAAAGGTGTGTCAAACAATATATATGATCAGAAATGATTTTAAAACTACATAAGTGAGAAATATCACATACCAAATTCTCTATTGATAGTTGAAATTGTCTAATTTCACGGAGTGTTTCATTATCTCTCTTCACTTCATTTACATATTGAGCCAAGTCCTAGAGTATCAACAGGAAAAGGGAGACAAGCTTTTCTGTAACAGAGCACTTAATTATTTCTGTCTTAAAAAAAATGACTACGCAGATAGGCTAAGAAGTTATCTTTAATATTCAAGAATTACCCATATGTACACCTAAATAAAAAGCAAAAACCCTTTACAGATTTTAAAGTCATATTTACAACTTTCTTCTTTTCAATTCCAAATTCAGTAGCAAGATATAGAAAAACACATAATAAATTGCAAAAGAGGACTGACTTTTTCTGAATTTGGTTAACGTCTTGTTTTCAAGACTAGACTTGGAAATGTAATTTGTGTAGTGCACAGTCTGAAAAAGCACTCAATGCCACCCAACACCTGAAAACAAAGAGTAAATACCACATATTTTATATGTGGTGTAACGCTGCTCAGATGTGGTGGAAAGAGTATTAAAGACTGTGTGCTTGTGCAAAGAGAAGTTATTACACAGAGGATTTAAAAAGGGGCTTGCAATGGGGCATATACTTCTGAAGTCACAGGCTGAGATCATTCTTGTCCCCTTCACCAACACACCTCCTGTACACATTTCACTGACACCTTTAAAACCACCTGAACATGCTTGACTAACAGGGACAATTTGCTGGGGCTTCTGTTTTATGGCTGGAGACTACGAGTGAGCAGGAGTGGTAATTGGTAAGGTCAGGGATGCTGAGAGCAGCAGCTCAAAAAGGTGTTTGGATCTTCACAACCTGCTTTAACAAGATCTTTCAATATGGTCACAAAATTGGAGGGCAAGGAAAGGATATTTTTTCTCAAGATGCTTTTATGGGAACCTAAGAAGAGCTGAAGTCATTCCATCAGCTTCCAAATGGATTCAAATGACATTCACATCAGTCTTAAATGGGCTGACATAAAAATCAAGTAATTCTGGTTTTTTTGCTGCTAAAAGAAAGCTGCCCACATAAAGCTTTCCTACAATTTTCTTTCTGGATAGGCAGCAAAAATTACTCAGTTTCCACTTTGTTGTCAGCTATTCCCAAAGATTCTTCATTTTTCCAGAAGACACATCAGGGGCTTTAGAAACACGCTATGCTGTGTGGTTATCTCTACTGCGCTGGCAGCAACGATCATAAGACAATACAATAAGATGGGAAATAATGAAGTGAGGTAACTGCAGGCACAAGCATTAATAAAGTTGCTCATTTCTGTAAATTTTATTTTGGTTGCATTGGTAGTCTTGTGTTACGCCATCCAGTACATAACTGCCACAGCAGTTGGAGAAACAAAATAAAGAGAATGTGACAAGCCTGTTCCAGAAACACTGCAGCTCAGAAAACTACTAAAACTTATTCCCAACACTTGAGCAAATATCCTTGCCCTAGTGTACTCGCTAAGGTCATGGTGAACTGTGAAAACATTTGACCTATTGTGAAAAATGTTATCTCTGCCAAGAAATATAATTGTGAATTACCCTTTTAACAGGCATCATAAATATAAATACTTGTCACAAATACTTACCTTCATGGCATCAAGTGCCAGCTTGAGATTTGCCTTCTCCATAGGATCCGTAGTATGTTTTACCAGCTCCTGTTGACAGAGGAGTTACAACTTTTCACCCACTGGCTGTCATTTCACAAATTGAAGTTACTGTCGCTCACCAACAAAAAAAACTGCCAATTACACTTTTAACAGATATCACAGCCCAAGAACTCACAATTTCTTCCCTATAGTGACCTATAGGGCCTATGAGTTACTAAAGGTTACAGCAAACAGGTAATTGGCTTAAGGATTACTGCAACATAGCTTTAAAGACCAATTTTAACTATTAAATGAAAAAATCATTAAAAGCTAATCTGGTCTGTCTCGCGCTTAAAACTTGCCAATAAGATCACTACTATATGTGCACCTTGGAAGCACAGGTCAACACATTCATGTGCACATTCCTCAGAGCGAATGATCCCACTACATTTGTCTGAAGAGGAACGTTTCCTGACAATAAAGCCTCAGCTAAACTGGGAACTGTGCAAAAGAAATCACTGTCTCATTACACTTAAGATAAAGCTGACTCGGAAGACATATTTAAGACACATGGAAACGTTAAAAGAATTTTTAAGCTGCCTCCCATATGGAAAATAAAGTGGGTTTTTGGGGTTTTTTTTTGTTTGTTTTGTCTTTCCTGACATGGAAAAGCAACCTCTTAAGAAAATAGGTTGTTACTTCTTTATAATCTGAGAAGATAATTATACATTTCAGCTCATGTAGTAACTTTATAAAATCCTAGAAAATTAAGGAATAACTATTTCATATAACAACCACAACAACTTTATTGGATTTTTTCTTTCATCTGTTAAATGCTTTTCGGCATTTACAAACTTACTCTTTCATAAACCCAGACATTAGTGTGTACTGACACGTTAAATATCCTTTCCTGTTATACACAGTGATTATAAAACCATGATTCAGATTTTATAAGCAATTTTAAAAGGAGCTGTACTGCTCATTTTTTCTTTTTCCAAATTTCTGTTGATCAAAATACTGATGACTCACATTTATAGAAATATTTTGAAAAATTTAATATAAGAATGTATATTGCTCTGCAGAGTCAAAATTATGCTTCACATACAAGCAGTAGCTCTTTTTAAATGACATTTTACAAGCATCAGCAGGGTTGACAGTCTAATATAGTAATACATTTCTTTGCTGCTGAACTAATGAGTCTCCTGGCACAGCTATCAAATTAAATTTATAAGACTCTCCACCCTTATTATAGGACTAACAGCAAAAGCTAACACTTTGTGGTTTATAACAAGAAACATTTCAAAATAAATATGGCCTTATTGTAATTTATGAAAGCATGGAAGCATCTTAAATGTATGCAGCATTGTTGAGCTTGCTCTTTTGGGGGTCCACATTTCAAGCACCGTAATTAGAGTTTGACACTACTAATAATTTTTAAAATACCAAGAATGAAAAGGTTCAGATACTGGGGAAGCAATTGCGGTTTACTTGTTTTTCTCAGATGTGCTTCAGCTCCGAGGAATAAACACCACTATGAAACCCACACTTGAGAGGATTTTATTTTGTAATAAATCAGCCTCAAATCTATGGAAATAATGATCACCTCCCTTTGATAAAGGCTTTAAACCTCATTTTAAAATTCTACCAAGGGTAAGCCACACATTCTGCTCTCAGACACCTAAAGCTTCAAAAACAGAATACCTGGAGCAGCAGGTGATATTTTAGTACTCTCTGCATTGGAACCACTAAGAGATCACGCAACGTAAACTTCCCGTTATTGGCCCTCTTGGAACATTCCTAGTTCAGAGCAGAGGAAAGATTAAAGTAAGTCCGAAAATGCAAGCATTAAAAATTATATATATATATACATGAACATGCATCTATCTATATAAGACAATGTTTATCTAGGCCAAGCAACTATATTAAACATAAGATGTGAAATACCAACAAAATGGAGAAAAATAAAAAATACAGCAATAGCACCAGAGCTAAAAAATAGCCAAGTCCTGCACTGGGGACACACTATCCCCTCCAGCGGGGCAGCCTGAGGACTAGCTGGTTGGGACTCTGCTGGAAAGGACCGGGGGTCTTGGCAGAGAACAAGACCCTCCGAGGAGAGACTGTGGGACGGGTCCCTTCCACCCTGAACCATCCCGCACACCTAAGTTCAGTCTCCTCAGGCAGCACTTAAAACAGATCCAGAGCAATGCTGCAAGCTCAGGCAGACTGCCCATCCTTTCAGGAGCAGAGGGGACAGTTGGGAAGCATATTTCCATCAAGTAACAATGACAAGAAAACTTAAAATCTGTATATATGTATGTATTCCATCAAAACTGATACCTCTAACTTCAACTTAACATCTTCTTTTGTCTTAGAGATGTTGTCTAAACATGATATTGCTATCTCCACTTGACTGCAGTACTGTCCATAAATAACCAATCTAAATCAAAGCAAGAGAAAAAGAATTAACAGAATATTTGCATCTATAAGAACTATCTTGATCATATTTCATGAACAGATTGGTAACACACTTTCAGAGGGAATTGAAAAGCACAAATTTCAATGGGCAGCAAAAAAAAAAAAAAAAAAAAAAAAACAAGGAAGGGTTATTCAGGGACAACATGGTATTGGGCTATCTTCAAAATCCTGTAGAAGCAGTGCAGTTTGCCTTACCACTCACATGTATATATTCTGATAAGCATGGCTATTGCTTAACAGTACTACAGCCTGCAGTATTTAAAAACACTGTACATTTGAAAGGCTATTGTAAAATAGGCTTAACTACAAGGTTAGTTACAGCTATCATTTTTAAAGAAATTTTAGGTTTGCCAATCCTTCTACAAGAGTTTTTCAACTCTTTACCTTCACTCACTATTGAAGATGGTTATTTAACTTTTACCACATTTGATTATTTTTAATAACTACATTGTAAAAATCTGAGTCTATTCTCCCAAACGTTTCCCTTGTGTGTAGTAAACAAAGTTTGGGTTTGCTCTTTCTTTCCTTTTTTCTTCCTTGTAGCACAAATCTCGGAGCTACTTTTGAAAAACATGCATTATCCAGAACAACTTTATGCCATCTAATTGCTTCCTGTAGCAGGAGAAAGTCTCATAACCTGGGAGATAAATACGTCCTGCTCCAACACGAAAGCTCAGAGCGAGGGCCTCTGCAGGCAAGTGTGTTTACAGGCAGTTTTATAAATATACTGACATTAAATTTGATTCTATATTAGAAGTATTCAGCAAATAGTGAAATGCTTTAGTGGACTGAGTGTAGATTATCACAAGGGAGTACTACAAGTTAGTGCATAAATCTTACCTTTCTTTGTAGTTAATAAAAATCTGATACAGGTTCTGATCGTTTTTGTTAACAATGGAGTCATTGATGTCCTGTGTTAGACTTCGGTGAATTTTCACCAAATCCTTGAAAACAGTGAAGGGGGAAAGGAGGAAGGTTTTGTTCTGTTCTGTTTTGTTTGTAAATGGAGGAAAAAAGCTTTGACTTCACGTCAGAACCACCAATTTCACTAAGTTAGAAAACAGATTATTTCTGAGTAAAAGCTAAATTTCATGATCCACCACATATTCAGTTCAGTGCAATGAGAAGCTGAATTTCAAGAACTGCTTATAAAACACTAATTTATTTTAGCTTGAAATGCGCACTGTTAATTCATCTTCATTTTATAATGATAATTTTAAAATTACGCAAGTCAAGTAAATACTTTAGTGACAAAATAATGATTCGTGTCCCTGAGCATGAAAAATTAGTTTTGTACATTACATTGGTCAATTAGTGACGTTCCAGTGCTAAGTTAACTGCAACCATAATGAGCTTTCCAATACAGCAGGCTCAAAAAAAGTACAAATGCTGCCAAAAGACTGAAGCCTTACTACATAGTAGCAAAACATCTCTAATGTTTACTGCTATGCAAAAAAATAAAGTTACTAGGAGTGACTACTCCTAGCCTTACATTGGTACCCATCAGCATGGATACTGTCAGAGAAGTCATAAGAAATTAAGTTAGAATAGGTTAAAAAAAAAAAAAAAAAAAGCTACAGCCTCCACCCCAGTTAATCAGGAGAACTTAGAAGTGGTGCACAGTCTACCACAAAGAAAAGCATAGGACTTAATGGAAAAAACTATTGAAGACTGTTTAATTCCGTAAAAGATATAGCACAAAAATAATATTCAACATTCAGTAGGAAATTACAGGAATAAAAACTAACGATAAACAAACTCAGTTATCACATCCCAACTGCAAGAACAAAAACATCTTAAAGCAGATCAAATGCAGTTGCTAAATCTGCATGACTTCATCATCAGAACTTGAAGTTGCAGGACACACAGGCATTAGTACAGAAACGCTTCCAAATGAAAATATTATAGGAACACACTTTTCAGGGCTGCACAGAGATACAACTAAGCAGCAGCCACAGGAAAGACCTGGAAGTTTCCTGAACAGAATCTTTAGGAGCTCTTATCTCCATTGAAAACATTTATATCAGTTTAATTTAAAACGTTAAGCATCATTAAAAGTTAACAAAAGCTTCATCGCTTCAGCATCAGTT